TTAGTTTGTTGCACTTATTGTATTCATATTAGTTTGTTGCACTTATTTTATTCATATTAGTTTGTTGCACTTACCGTATTCATATTAGTTTGTTGCACTTATTGTATTCATATTAGTTTGTTGCACTTATTGTATTCACATTATTCACATTAGTTTGTTGCACTTGACTTCTGGTGACTAGTAGTTCTCTTGAATACCGATGTTGAATACACTTATTGTAAGTTGCTTTGGATAAAAGCATCTGCTAAATGACAGTAATGTAGTGTAATATAATGTAATATAAAGCCATTTTTACACAAGTGATTAAATATAATTAAATAAACATAATATAAAACTTAAACTTAAAGTTTTGTTATGTCTATTTAGTTACTTTACATATATATAAATAAATACACATAATACATCATAATGTGGAGGTGAGTTCTGTTATCACAGACTAAATTAAAGTGTTTCTGTATATCTGTACACAAACATCATGATTTAAATCAAAGACGATGTTTCAGTTTTATTTTTCTAAACACTGAAAGGTCATCGACACATCGACCTTCAAACAAACCTCCGACCGTCCAAATGTTTTATTTTATTACATTTCACTTATTTCTGCTTCAGAGGAGAAATAAAATGTCGACACGTCTTCACTTTATAAAACATATTCTTCTCATTTTAAATGTCTTATATCATAAGTGTTTCTTTTATTTTTCCTAATATTTATGGAATAAATAGATTAAATGTTTTTTTTGTGTTGTGTTGTTTTTTTGGTACTTTCATTGAAAATCATTTATTTTTTAAAATCTCATTTCAACTCACATTCAGTATGTTTTATGTTGACTTTTAAGTCTGAAAAAAGAGTAAATAAATTAATGACTTTTTTATTTTAAATGAAGATATTGATAAATTTAGACTTTTTAAAGTCAAAATAGTTATTAACATTTTTAAGGTGTTTTAAAGGGTTAAACAATATTAAACAACTGGTGGAAATTTAAGGTACAAATTCATGTTTGTAATTATTAAAGAACTACAATTGTGAATTATATGTATACATTTAACCTTTTGGTTTAATGAGTTTAACAAACTAACTTCAACAAACTGAGTTTAACAAACTCACTTCAAAAACTGAGTTTAACAAACTAACTTCAACAAACTGAGTTTAACAAACTGAGTTAAACAAACTAACTTCAACAAACTAACTTAAATTAACTGAGTTTAATAAACTGAGTTTAACAAACTAACTTCAACAAACTAACTTCAACAAACTAACTTCAACAAACTAACTTAAATTAACTGAGTTTAATAAACTGAGTTTAACAAACTAACTTCAACAAACTAACTTCAACAAACTGAGTTCAACAAACTAACTTAAATTAGTTGCCTGAAGTTGTGAGGAGCTGCAGCTCTATTAGCACTTTTAAAGCCAACTATAAAGTCTTTTAAAAACACTGCACACACTGACCTCAATTCTTTGGTATTTTCTGACTTGATTTTATTGACACACATTAATTTTTGATGTGCTATTTGATGTAGCGTTGTATTGGGTGTCTTGCATGTCTTTTGTGGTATATCTCTGTATTATGTATTTTCCTTTTACTGTGTTGTTGTCTTGTCCTTGTTTGACCTGCCAAGGGACTGCAGATGCAAATTAGCTTCAGCTACAATCTGGTACAGTGCATCGAATGGAGACATTTATGTTGAAACTGTACATGGTCCCTTTTAAATAAATAAATAAAACAAACTAACTCAAACAAACTAACTTAAACAAACTAACTGAAACCAACTAACTCAAACAAACTAACTTAAACAAACTAACTCAAATGAACTAACTCAAACAAACTAACTTAAAGAAACTAACTCTAACTAACTAACTCAAACTAACTAACTTAAACAAACTAACTCAAACTAACTGACTCTAACAAACTAACTTAAACAAACTAACTCAAACAAACTGAGTTAAACAAACTAACTTTTGGGTACCTAGCCCTATTTTTAGGCCTCTGCTCGAATATTGCATACCCATACTAAAAAGAGTGTCTTTCTCTAATTATAAGGTCTATTTGAATAATTTTGATGTTATAATAAAGATAACTAACTGAAATAATTTGTTCAGATGTGTAAATATCAGTGTATATGTTACTGGTTAAGAGTGAATGAAGATGGCACACAGCTCAAATTGAACAGTTCCAGGTTCACCTGAAAAAAAGCTCTTTTATTGTTATTATTTCTTGAAATGAGGCAGTGGTTACCCTAACATCTTCCAAATCATAGCACAACATGTCAATAGTCTCGATGCAAATTTTGGCTTTGATTAAGTGCAGCAGAAAAAAGTTAGAGGTTTTAGTACAGAGAGGTCAGGCGAGGTCAAGCAAAATTGTCATTTTGGAACCAGCTGTTCCATTGTAATTTTATAAACTATATAACTATATATTTCACTTGTTTTATCACTAATAGTGTTCAATCTATCCAAATACAGCAGTTTGGCATCATTTTGACAGCCTGAGCCCTCTCTAAGCCTGTGAACCATGGATGATCATCGTCTGAGTTCCAGTTTTCCTGTGTGTATGTGAGGCTTTTTCAGCCTATGATTGGTCAATTTCAGTCAATAACACCTCCTTTGATGCGTCAGAGTCTCAAGAAGACAGTGGGCGTAAGCTGGTGTTGATTGACAGAATCGTTAGCCAGTAAAAATCAAAAATGCGCCGTGCCTCGCCGAGTGTAAAAACCGATACGCCGAAAGTGAAATCCCTTCCCCCCCGGTCCCCATGCTTGTCTCACCCCCCTTTCTTCAGGAAACAGTTTAGAAACACACAGGATATACATGGAAGACATATTTGAATTGAAATAAGTGGGGATTTATCCGTTCTGCTCAAGGTGAGGAGCATTTATGATTATTAGCGGTGGAGCGGTGTGTTCTTCTGGTGCTTGTTGGCTGTATCTTTGTAATGATTTCACGGAGAGAAATTCTGAAGATATCTTTGGATTCTGTGTCGAATTCTCTTGCTTTCTGATATATTGGTTGTCCGTGTTAGCCTTTAGCTTTGTGTTCGTAGCTTTGTCCGTAGTTCGTAGCTCGCCGAGTCGTGGCGAAAAATACGTGATATTGTGGTACATCTTCTAGTTATTATATTAGTTTGTCTATAATTGTGTTTGCAGTGTGTAAAATGGCTTCGATGATATTTTTGGCCAGAATCTCTTCGTTAAGTCTGTATATAACATGTGTGTAGCATTCATTATATTCGTTTCTGATAAGTGCATTCTACGACACGCTCTTCGCTAAACTTTCTCGCTGGAACCCCAAATGATCCTCGCTCTGTACAAACTAACTCAAACAAACTGAGACGCCTTCGGACACACAAACCTGTGAAGCTGTCACAGTGTTTTCTGTTACTGCAGGAGATGAAGGTCAGAGAGTGCGTCCACAGTCAAGCTAAGAAAGGTCACATCTTCATCATCATCTTCATCTTCATCATTGGCCCCATTCACAAAGAGGCGTCTGAGTGCGTGCAGAGACCCCCCCCCCCCCCCCCGACACTCACACCGGTGTATAAAATAGAAACAGCTCCAGTGTTTCTATTTGACTGAAGAGGCACAGAGAGACACATCAGAGCTGAGAGGTGGATGAAGACAGACGGACAGACAGAGAGACAGTGAGACAGACAGAAAGACAGACAGCAGCTCTGCAGGACGATCAGGTAAGAGAACAATGTTTTGTATTTTCACTTTATTAAATATTTGCAGACCTTTATAATCATCTAGTGCATTAAGATAATATATATGTGCACAGAACCACTTATGTAATTTATGCAAAGTAAATATAAGCAAACATGAAGTGTAAATGGTATAAATAAAGCATGAATAAATAACTACACATATATTAGTGTACATAGGCCCACTAGTTCCTGCTCGTTGTAAACTTTGAGTGTCAGTTATATCAAAACTTTATCGAACCTAATAAATCCTAAAAGATTCATTGTAACGACTCGTTCCGCAGATGTTCTGTCACAGGCTGGCAGCGAGCGGTGAACAGCTGTTTGTGTGGCGTCTCTTCCGTCTCTTCCTGTTTCCTTCACCTACATTCCCCTGGGTCCTAAGTCCCTCATGTACAGCTTCACCCTCTATGTACCAACGTACATTTATAACAAATACCACACATATTACGGTAATCAGCGCTGCACATGTGTCTGACCACAATACCAACAAAAAGAAAAAAAGAAATGATTCATTTAAATTGTTGTTTTAGAGTTTTTAAAGTGTTTTGTTTGTAATATGTATAATAAGCATCATTTAGTTATCACTACAGAGAATTATATTCTCAGTTTATATTATATATATATACGTATATATATATATATATAATGTTTATATATATATATATACATATGGATATATCTTTATATATATATATACATATATAAACATTATATATGATGTGACATGTGTCCTGTGTTTCTAATCCCACAGCTTGTCCTTGCAGGCGTCCTGTGAAGCCCCCTGTCTTCCTTCAGGTAGTACCTGAAGAAGATGAAGATGAGGGTGTTGCTGTGGGTCGTTGTTCTGCTCGGCCTCCTCCTCCCTTGCTCTGCTGACTCTCGACCCGTCGACTCCTCCCCCACCGCCGGCCTCCGTCGCCTGCTCCTCCTCCCCCGACCGCTGCTGGGGGAGGAGTTGTCCTTCCAGGTGGGCGGAGGTGGAGGCTCCTCCTCTCTGGCGGTGGGCGGAGCTCAGGAGGAGGAGGAGGTGGAGAAGTGGAGGAGGTCTGAGGAGCCTCCCATCTCTCTGGATCTGACCTTCCACCTCCTCAGAGGAGTCCTGGAGATGGCTCGAGCCGAACAGATCGCCCAGCAGGCCGACAGCAACCGCAAGATGATGGACACCTTCGGGAAGTAGTCCTCCAACTACTGAGGTCATCTGATTGGTCGGTTTCATGTTTCAACTGCTTCCACTTCAACTCCTTTCACTGGACAGTTGCACTACGTTCACTATTTACATTAAAAACATTCAATTGGAAACTAAACCAAACAGAATTCATCTCTGACGGTAGATTATTATATTGAGATGAAGAAAGTATTTATTCATCAATCAAAACGTAATAAATACTGGAATAAATAAATACAATTAATGAATAAATATTCAAATGTTTAACTAAAATAATAAATGTTTTTCTCTTCTGTGTTTTTCTTCATTTATTTATTGATTTACTGATTAATTGCATCATTTTTTTAATTCAAGTATGAATTTAATATATACATATATATATGTATATATACATATATATATGTATATATACATATATGTGGAAGAAAAATAAGAAAACCTTTGAGTGGAATCTTCACAGTAAAGGATTTTATTTGTTTTATTGTGATAGCTGAATGTGTTTGTTGGTAATTAAAACAGGTGTGAACATTTAATATTTACAATAAAACTTTTCAAAGTCACGTCTTCTTCTGCTGCCGGCTCACCGTACTTTATTTACACAAACACTCACCGCTCATCCACCGCTTTTTCATTTAGGTTTTATAAGTCTTTTTCACAAGAAATGCATAATTTGATTATTTTTAACGTTTCAGAAATGAGTGACAAGAAGAAGAAGAATGTCTCCTTCTTCTTCTACAGAATTTATAGAAGTAGTTTGAGTTAGTTAGCGGGTTAGCTTGTCCATCTATAGAGCTAGCTAGTGTGCTAGCTCCTGCCTGCTGTCCTCTAGCATTGAGGAGCCAGAGGGACCGTAGACCTGAATCTGTATCCAGTGCAACGTTAGCATGAACCCTGGTGGAATTAGCAGGCGAGCTAACCATCCAAATTAGTAAAATGTAACAACGTAACGCTTCACACACTCTGTTGTAGGAAAGCACATCAATATTTGATGGGATTGTTTGAAGTGATGGAAGCTTGGTGGTGTTAGCAAGCTAGCTTAGCATCAAGTTCATTTCACCCTTTTGAGAATCACACGGTTTTTGTTCGTCTTAAAACTCAAAGTTCATCAGGAACATTTATTTTACATTTTAACAGAAAACATTCAGATCTTCTATTTAACAATTAAATAATGAAAAAGAAACATTGAAGTCACAGAAGACGACTGGAGACTGATCCAGATCCTGGACCCTTGATCCTGAACCTGGTTTTACTTCTGGTTGAGCCAACTGAAGGAGAAGACGTGCTTTGTTCCATCTTTGTCTTCTGATTGATTCTGCTGATCAGACTGAAGAAGAAGAAGAAGAAGAAGAAGAAGAAAAAAAACAGGAAGTAGAAGAAGAAGAAGAAGGAGTAGATTTGATTTTTAAATTCCTTTTATTGATCCAGGACAGATCACGGTCACGTCACCAATTCAGAATAAATAAATAAAAACAACTCCTCCACCCACAGAAACACACCAACATCTCACACATGAACACTCAGCCTTTACTTCAGTCATCGGTCCAAAGCTGAACCCTCAACCCGAACTGAACCCAGAACACCTGAGACTCAGAGAGCCTCCAGAGAGACAAACGCTGTGAGGGACCAAACACAGAACACCTGAGACTCAGAGAGCCTCCAGAGAGACAAACGCTGTGAGGGACCAAACACAGAACACCTGAGACTCAGAGAGCCCACAGAGAGACAAACGCTGTGAGGGACCAAACACAGAACACCTGAGACTCAGAGAGCCTCCAGAGAGACAAACGCTGTGAGGAACCAAACACAGAACACCTGATTTTTAAGGCGGGAAACGCTTCTTCTCATCCAGAACGTTAAAACCGACCACTTTCATAACTATGTTGACTGATTTTATGAATTTAGTGGTGTCACTGAAGTGTTCGCTTACTTTCAGAGATTTCTTTTTATATGTTTGATCTAGAAAAGTGTTTATTTCTATCAGTGAGTACAGATCTGTATATGTTCCAGGGGTTCCACTCACAGACTCCATGTCTGACTCAGAGTCATAATCCATGTCCTCTCCCCCTGACAGCTGACTGTTAGACACACTGGGTTCCACACTGGCGGAGGCTGCTTCCGCCATGCTTTCTGCTGGCTGGGGTTGTCCAGTCTGAGAGCTGCTGTTCTCTGCAACATCAGCCTGTTGCTCCTCTGCTTGGCTCTGCTCCTTCTCATCTTTGTCTTTACCACCAGCCGCCGCGCCTGCAGTACCGCAATCCACCATCGCAGCCATGGCCCACGGGCCCGGCCCCAGGTCCGTCCGCCGCCGGTTCAACCATCGACCACTGGTCCGTCATCCTTCGGTTCAGCCACAGGTTCTTCATCTGTGGGCGTACTCCCGCTCCGGTGTCTGTGTCAGCAGAGCCGGCCTGCTTTCTGTGCGAACAGGTAAACCGTTTGTGTCCCACACCTCCACACTGGAAACACTTGAGCTGTACGGAGCTGGTGTACACCATGTAGGAACCGTCACCGTGCTCCACTCTGAAGGACACCTACAGTGTTTCAGTCGGAGAGTCCAGAAACATGAACAGCTGCCACCTCAGAGACTGAACGTGCCTCAGTTTAGGGTCTTTGCATCCTAAACTCACTGTTTTTAATCCGCTGGCAAACTTCCCGAATCTCCGGAGCTCTTTCTCCAACAGCTCGTTCTGGATAAACGGCGGAACACCGGACACGGTGATCCGCGTGGAGGGAGCTGACAGCAGGGAGACCTGCACAAATGCGTCCCTGATGAACACTCCGCTCTCGATCCGCTGGTAGACTAGAGGCTCTTGCTTCAGGAACACCACCACTGCTTTGTTCATTCTGGAGGCAAAGGTGAGCTTATCGTGTCCCACCTGCTCACCGACAGCCAGCAACACCTCCTCCACCGTCACGTTGTTATCCGGGGGGACGATCCTCACTCCCTGCTGGAGAGACGGAGGTGGTGTCTCGGAGGATGCCATTCCTCCCAAAAACACCTCGACAGAGCCCCGATCACTCACCACACAAACCAGTAAAACCGTTCAAGAGACTCACCTGATCATCCGCCTCAACAGAGGAAGAAACACAGTGAAAGACCCGAAGATCAGGAACCATTCAAATCTAGTGCCACTCACACTTCCATCGTCTCGTCTCGCCTCCACACTCACACTCACCGGAAACAGAAAGAGGAAGGAGTAGAAGAGGAAGAAGGAGTAGAAGAGGAAGAGGAAGTAGATTTGAATTTTAAAGTCATTTTATTGATCCAGGAGACACCAGATCACTGTCATGTCATCAATTCAAAAATAAATAAATAATCAAAACAACTCATCCAACCACAGAAACATACCAACGTATCATACATGAACGATCAGCTCTCCCTCCTCCTCCACGGAGCATAAAACACCCCAACAGCCCAAATGCGGCTGAAGGCCATCACATCGTCCATCATTTTATAGTAAGTGTGTTCCACCCTTAGTCTGGCCTTTAGCAGTCCCTTCAGAACCGGTAGCAGCTCCACACTGCCGGCACTCTGAGCCCGGTTCCTGCATGTTAACCAAATGGCCAACTTTGCAGTACCTGACAAAAAGTTCACCAGCGTGTGAACTGTTTTTCTCTTAGCAGAGTATTTTGGACCAAAGACAAACAAAACAAATGAAAAAACCTCCCCGAGACCCTGGAATCACCTTTTTAAAAGTTCAAACAGTGCTGACAGCCGAGGACACTGAACGAACAGATGTATAAGAGTTTCACTCTGGGAACAGCTCAGGATCAAGGTGCACTCTGTACCTGTTTGTGGCTATTGCCCCGTGTACAACCCTCCACTGGAGGTCTGCTGTCCGCTTTTCAATGGGCAGCTTGTACAGGGACCGCCAGCTGCCTTTCGGGGAAATATCTGGACCAAAGAACTCAGTCCACCTCGACTCCTTCATCTCTGCCAAAAAGCGCAAGTTGACAACCTTGACGCAGGTGTGGTAGACGGCTTTTTTGCCCACATCCTGTAACTTTTCCAGGTGCGGGGTTGTGAAGGTGAGCAGCTGACTTCCTCCTTCCTGCCACTCCCCCACAGAGGGGGTGATGGACAGAGAGGGGAAGCATTACTCAAAGCCGTCATACCACTGGTCATACAGAGTTCGGTTTGCAACAAACTCTCTCTGGGGTATGGACAGGGCGGCACAGACTTCCTCCACCACTCTGTTGATTAGCTGGACTGAGGTGATGCTGCTGTTGTCTCTCAGGGCGTCCATCAAAGTCACCGTCATCCTCATCAGATGGCCCAGTTTGGTGCAGCCAGCCTCTCTGAGACTCGCTCGCAGGCTGGCAGATGGCAGAGTTTGACTCTTTATAAAGTTGTTAAGGAACAAAGGTTCCTCAAACAACCACATTCCAGGAACCTCATTTGTGGCACGTCTGGTTTTGAGAATCTGCCACGCCTGAAGTACAGAGCTGTAGAAAGTTGTAAGTCCCGTAAAGTCCAAAGTCTGGTTGTAGGAGAAACAGCTGCTTGTCGTAGCCCAACCGCCCAGCTCTCCTCAGCAGCAAACAAGCTGTGTCGATCCAGCCTGAACCACAGTCGTAGAGCAGTCATAGAGCTGTCTGGATTGGAAAAAAGGCAATTTTGGACTGGATGTCAATCAGTCCGTGCTCCCCTTCATCAACAGGCAGGCACATAGCTGCTGCCCGGACTCAGTGCTTGCCAGACCAGAAAAAGTCGACGATGGATCTCTGGATGTCCTCAATCAGGCCTCTCGGTGGCATCAGAGCGATGAGTCTGTGCCACAGAGTTGAGGCAACTAAGTTATTGGCAACCAGAATTCTTCCCCTATATGACAACTGGGGTAGAAACCATTTCCATTTAGAAAAACGAGCGCACACTTTCTCCTTCACTCGCTCCCAGTTCTTTCCTTGAAAGCCCTCGGTGCCCAAGAAAACTCCCAGGACTTTCAGTCCCTCTTTCCCCCACTCAAGTCCAGCATTCAGACTGGGCGCTGCCCGATCCCTCCACTGTCCCACCAACAAGGCTTCGCTCTTGGCCCAGTTCACCCTTGCAGATGATGCCTTTTCATAAAACAATAAGGTATCCTGCAAACATTGAACATCCTTCTGACTGTTGACAAAGACACATACATCATCTGCATAAGCAGATACAATAGATTGTATCTGCTTATGCAGATACAATCTATCTGCATAAGCAGATAGATTGTATCTGCATAAGCAGTGAGACACCGCTGAGTTGACCTCTCAATCTGCACAGTAAGGGCTCAATGGCTAAGCTATATAGTAGACCTGAAATAGGACAACCCTGTCTTATCCCTCGATGTACAGCGATTGGCTGACTCAGCCCCCGTCTTCACCATACATTGTGCACCACTGTACAATAATCCAACACAAGCCAAAGAAACATCACCAAAACCAAAAGCCCTAAGTGCAGAAAACAGATATGAGTGATCCACCCTGTCAAAGGCTTTCTCCTGATCCAAAGACACAACACCAGAGTTTACATTATTTTTCCTGCACAAGTCCAAAGTGTCTCTCATGAGGAAAATATTGTCCATAATTGTCCTGCCAGGTATACAATATGTTTGGTCTGAATGTACCACTAAGTCCAGGTTGCCCGTGAGTCTATTTGATAAGGCTCTGGAAAGCACCTTATAGTCAGTACAGAGGAGGGCCACCGGCCTCCTGTTCCTGAGTAATGCCAGGTCTCCTTTCTTTGGCAGCAGGGAAAGCACCGCTCGCTGACAGGAGACAGGAAGAGATCCGGTTCCGAAACATTCCAAAAGAACACTATGTATGTCGTGTCCAAGTATATTCCAGAAGCGTTTGTAAAAGTCAGCGGAGAAGCCATCAATCCCTGGTGCCCGACCCAATGCTATCTGATTAACAGCAACCGTCAAATCCTCCAGAGTCAGCCCACAATCCAGAGCAGCTTTCTCTAACGGGCTGAGCTGAGGATGCCCCTCCAGAAGCTCCTGCCGACACTCCATGCTGCACTGCTCCGCCCCAAAGAGGTCAGCGTAGAAATCCATGTCATGGTTCCTCATCTCGCCCGGGCTGGTGGTCACCCTGCCTCCTGGAAGCCTAATGCTGCGTTCACACCAAACGCGTCGCGAATTCATAGCGCTGCATATTCGCGTCCATCGCGCCCCAGGTCAAAACGCCGGGGACCAGTGTTCATTCGCGCGAATCGCGCTGGACACGCCGGAGAGGGGGCGGGGCCCTGAAAGCCGTTCAACTGTCCGCCATTAACCATGAAAAAAATAACCTCTATTTCTGCTTAGTACGTGTTGTGGAAGTCACAGATATCCCGGGAAACTAAACGCCGTCATGTCTGGGTTCATAATATTGTCCAGAGGAGCTCCATGGATTTTATCGAGCTGTATTCACTGTGTCTAGTGAGCCACACAAGTCGCTGTTTACTACAGCTGTATGAACACACATTTATACACATAGTTTGGTCCGGTCTCTATTGATATGAGGTATCAATAGATACAGGTCCATACCACGCGGATTCGCGTCCATCGCGCCGCAAATTCGCGTCCATCGCGATGCGCCATCGCAGATTCGCGCCGCGACAGTCTCATCGCGTCTGTGCATAGACTTTGTATGTAATCTACTCGCGCGAATAATTCGCGCCGCGTTTGGTGTGAACACAGCATAAGGCAGGTCATCTGTTTCCTCTGTGTCACCGTTCTCTCCAGGTTGAAGAAGAAAGAGCTCGGGGGGGTCCATGTCCTTCAGCTGGAGGAAGCAAGACCTGACCAGAGCTCCCTTCACCCTCTCCTGCAGGAAGGAGCTCAACTCCAACCTCTTCTCCTGGAGCAGTTGACCCGTTGCAGGATCTTGGTCTCGGTGTAGCCCCTCCTCAATATCCATGATGTTGGCCTCCAGCTCCTGGACTGCTGCCTTGATCTTAACAGTGGAATGGGAGGTGTACTGCTGGCAAAAACACAAACTTGTGTTTTTCCAACCTCCCACCACAGCTTCAGAGAACTAAAGTCAGTTTTTCTGCTTTTCCAAATCAGCCAAAAAAGCTCAAAGCTCTTGCAGAAAGCAGTGTCCTGCAGGAGTTTGTTGTTGAAGAGCCAGTAGGACTTGACTCTTTCACCTGGTGAAATGATCAGCTGTACAGTGATGATGTGGTGGTCACTGAAGCCAACTGGACTGAAATGTATATCCGGTCTAATCTGGCTGCACTCACCCTGTTATTGTTGACCCTCACCCATGTGTACTATTTATTTAATCATTCTTTATCTCTAGAAACTTAAAGTTTCCTATAATTTAATTGTGATTATATTTTTAAAAGATTAAAATGTGATTCAATTGAATAAATACAAATCTAAATAAATACAAATCTAAATAAATGTTAATTGTTGAACTCTTGAATTCATGTTCCTGAATGCAGCGTGTGATGTCATACCTGAGGGGCGGGGCTTGCGGTGGATGTGGGCAGAGGGGGCGGGGCCTGTGTGGTTAAAGAGGCGGGGGGTTTCGTCGGCGACGTCACGGTGGGCGGGGTCTCTAAGGGTCTCTGAGGGGGCGGGGCTGAGAGATGAACACCTATAGGCTGAACGGGAGAGAGAGGCGACTGCTGATTGGCTGAGCTCGTCCCTCTGACCTCCACCGCCTCTTCTTCATCCTCATCGTAGTCTTCATCACCTGAGGAGACAGCGTTGATGTTAAAGCAGCTCTCTGATTGGACGGTCACATGACTTCCTGTTTCTTACGTTTGATGAAGTCGACTTTCATCAGCGCTCGTCTCTGAGGCTCAAAGTCAGCGATGAAGTGCTCCATGTTCTCGTATCCAGGCTGCACTTTATCCATGTGAGACGTGCTGGAGCCCTCCACCATCCTAGAGATTATGAATATTCATATTATTATTATGTTATTATTAATATCAATAATACTCATCATAACAATAATAT